GTACTGGGCGCGCTGGCTGTTAAGCCTTCTACTCCACTTCGTCTGAAGCTCTAGCTGGCTCTGGATAAAGCGCGACACCCATTTCTTGCCTACAGGTTGTGGAGGTGGATCTTGGCCACGCGCGGCGAGTAACGCGTCTGCCATCCGTCGTACGTCGATAATATGGGGTGGAAAACCACGACGGTCAAGGTCTAGGATCCACTGCACAAGGGACTGCTCTTCAATGGACGATAGCTTACGGTTAACAGACCGTAGCTCTAGTCGTGGCTGAGTACTATGAACGCGAGTATGTAGTGTTGATTGTGGCACATCATATGCTTTTGCAAGAGCACAGATAGATTGTTTTGGATTATTACGATAAGACGCGATAGCAAGGCTTATTCTGCCTTCACGAGAAGTATGTATAGAACGTTGTTGTCGCGGCATGGTGGTGGTTGTGTAGAGCGTCGCGTCAAGTTTGGTGGGGTGCCCAGCTTACTGATCTGCCCAGCTTACTGACCCTGCACGTTACCAGAAAAGGTCTTACATAAATCCGTTCATCAAAGAAAAGGGTTACTAACATGGTCCTGAAAAGCCCCAAATTCTGTCAAAGCAACGCCATAGGAACGTGAAATGCAGTCCCTTGCTCGCGTATGCGTTGAGTAATCATGACTGACCTTGCCTTAGGAGCTGCAATGAGCCAGAAAAACAAAGTTTATTCTCCAGCCACGTTTGAAGACTACCTCAAGCCGAAGATCGAGGGTAAGGTATACAGCTCACCGACATGTTGGTCCTCGCGATCTGCCAAGGTTGGATCCGCGCTTCATCAGCATTTATGCTTGATCAGCCTGCGCCATTCTCTCAAAGCGTGAGATGAGATTGGTATAAGTATATTGAAAGATCCATCTCTGGATTTCGATCATCGAATCTCATCATGAGGACTGCGTCTTTCACAATGAGCATTCTACGCATAAGAACGCTCGCTTCGTCATTATCATTACTTCTCTTCATTTCATCGGCAACTGCCGAAACAAAGTGTGATGCTTCTACATTTCAGAACGTAAAACTCTCAAATGGCAACATCCTAAACATCGCTACAAAACTGCATACAGGCCTCTCCTTCGAAGCTCCTATTGAACAAAACCATTATGCAGTCAATGTGACTGACCTCGAAGCCTGCGAAGTAACCGTAACCTACACTCACCCTGGCTACAACGATACCATCAACACTGTTGTATGGCTGCCCACCGCTGAAAAGTGGACGGGACGATTCCTCGGTGCTGGAGATTCAGGATGGGCTACGGGCGCAATCACCAATACTACGCTTCCTTGGGCAGCTGGGGAGGGCTTTGCCGTCGTCTCAACTGATGGTGGACATGTCGATGCTGATGATACGTGGGCACAAGTGAGCCCTGGAAACATCAACTGGGCTTTGCTGCAAGACTTTTCTTCGATTGCACTGGACGATGCTGCGACACTTGGCAAGACCATTACTAAAGAATACTATGGTAAAGCGCCCAGCTACAGTTACTGGAACGGCTGCTCGACTGGTGGGAGACAAGGACACATGATGGCGCAGCGATATCCCGATCAATACGACGGTATTCTCGCAGTTGCGCCGGCGATACACTGGAATCAACTCATGTTGCAGCTTTTATGGCCGCAGGCAGTCATGAACGAGATTGGTATGTATCTTACCCTGGTAAAGAAGCCCGTGGCTCATCTTTCTAGGCTTCCCCACTCCGTGCGAGTTCGAAGCCATCAACGTGGCTGGCATTGAAGCCTGTGACAGTCTGGATGGCCTGAAGGACGGTGTTGTTTCAGTTCAGAATTGTTTCTTTGACCCAACCACTGTTGTAGGCAAATCATATATTTGTCCATCGACAAACCAGAGCACGACAATCACAGATACCGTGGCCACCGTGGCCAAGATGTTCTGGCACGGTGCAACGACCGCCGAAGGCGAGCCTCTGTGGTTCGCCAACAAGGTTGGAGCGCTATTCAACTCAAGTGCGGCAACGACATGCAACAACGGTACATGCGTTGGTGTGCCATTTTCCATACCACACACGTGGGTTACAGACTTTGTCGTGCTTGATCGCGACTTCGAAACCACGCAGCTCAACACGACAAACTTTGAGGAAATCTTCAATCAGGCCATCAACCGCTACGACTCTATCATCGGAACCACGGATCCAAATCTCAAAGCGTTTGGCAAAGCAGGCGGAAAACTGATTACCTGGCAAGGCCTTGCTGATGAGATCATTGCTCCTGATGCTACAGCAGACTACCTGAAGGAGGTGTATAAGCGCGACCCGAATGCGAGGGAGTACTACCGTTTATTCGAGGCCCCAGGTATATACCACTGTATTGGCGGGGATGGATGGTATCCTGGAGACGGGCTGAACGCCCTTATTGATTGGGTGGAGAATGGCGTGGCTCCTGAAACGCTTGCAGCGGAGACCGCAGGAGGCCGGAAAGCGAACCTTTGTTTATGGCCAAAGACTCTGATATATGTTGGCAGTGATCCGGATGAGGCTACATCATTTACTTGCCAGTAGGCAGCGGGGAGCGGTAGTACTTGGAAGGCTGTGTCATGAGTAAGTAGTGAGCAAACCAACGCGAACAGAAGCGAATTCGAAAGATCTATACGAATTCTCACCCGCCACCTGTATTCTGTGACATGGTCAATATAACCTTGGTCCTTCCCGTGAAGTTAACAAAAGCAAGTTTTGAAAATAACTCAAGTACAGTAAGTAACCTTGGAAAGTCAAAGTCAATCTGCAACTAGTCTTATCCTTATCACCACGTGAATAGGCATCGTCACACCATTCAACGGGAGGCCTCATGGCCATCTATAACCATGGGAACCCAGCAACTCAGTGATTCGTCTATCCACAAACATGACAAACCTACTTTCACTTCCCAACGAACTCTTACAGAACATCGCCTCTTACTTAACATGCTCCTCAGCCCTCAGCCTCGTGCGAGTGAATCGCCAGCTACGCAACGCATGTAACGATCGACTTGTCTTCCACAGCATAGCCAGGTACAATCTCGAGCTTCCTCTTCTCGCTAGCCACGGCATCGAGGTGCCTCGCACAGACTGGGCAGAAGGCGATGCAATCCTCACTGGCGCTTCCTTCAATGAGACAGTGCGGCTAGCCTACGCCGCCGAAAAATGCATACAAGCACTGCTGGCCCAAGACGACAACACATGGACTCTACGCATATCGAATCTCACAAACTCGTGCGACTTGAGCAACTGGCTGCCGCACATGATGCTTCTGCAGCATCCCGCCGCGCAGGCAATCCGGCCCGAGATATTCCTCCAAGTCCAAGGGAAGCTGCAAATGCAGCTTGCAGCCTCGATGCCTTCAACCGTGTCTGCACCGCTCACCGACTTTATCAATGTAAACCTCGTCATGGTGTACGCGATGCTGGTACAGCTACACTCGACACTGGATCCGCAAGAGCAGAAGAAGGCGTTTGACCGCTCCATGTCAGCCTCGCAGCCCACGGGCGCTCCAAACTATGTTACACACGGCCTTGGTACCAATTCCTCGTGTACCCTTCCACTGATGCGGCAGCGCATCCGCAACTACCAAATCTTCAGCGCCCAGTTTTCCGCCGACCAAGCCCTCGCTCTTCTCCCCGTGTTCCTCCTCGAACTCGCTTCTCCGCTACCCACGGGCGCCGCCCTCCTCTCTGAGCTTCCCGTCGCCTCTAAAATGGCTTTCACAGCCTCCATCAGCATCCCCCCAGTCTTCCACCGCACAACCAGAACTACCGAGTCACTCCCCCTCGGCACAAGCCACCTCGCCACCATGTGTACGCCCGCCTTCCTATCGGGAAAGTGGACGGGCTACTACAGCGACCATCGCAATCCCCGGCACACAATGACCATGTTCGATCCGCCCATGCGCGACATCAACATGATAGCGCGGCCGCAGCCCCCATCTTCTTCCTACTGCTCTCCTCACGCAAGAAACGCTGCTCCTCCTCACACTCCCACCACCCACATGACGGCGCTGATCGACCGTGAAACCAGGGGCGTAGACGGCCACGGCGAGTTCCGGCTTCAAGGCCAGGTCTACGCTGATGGAAGCGTGCGTCTGGTGAAGAGTTATATCGTGCATGGCTGGTCGTGGCGCTGGGCGGGATGTGTGACGCCGTTTGGCATTGTGGGGGTTTGGGGCGGTGATGGCCGTGGTGGTGGTGGTGTACAGCAAGATGCTCATGTCGATGTCGATGTCGATGACGATGATGAAGAAGAAGAAGAAGAAGAAGAAGACCAAGCACAATATTTCGGCGGCTATTTCTGGATCTGGAAGAACGAATGGTGTGCAGCGTAATTCCCAATTCGAGGTTGCATGTGCAGGACATTTAGCTACATACCCATACTTATACAAACAGTGATGCGATTAGTGGGGGGGGGCCAAAGAAGGTGTCACGTTGGGTATATATATCTGATACGAGCAATATCCCGTTGTTTCTGTGGTACATGTGTAGTTTCTCCTTCTCCTCCTCCTCCTCCTCCTCACTTACTTATCCATCTACTTATCCATCTAAGCCTGACTTGTCCATTGTCAGTGCCCATGTCAGTGCGAGAAGGAAAAAAAAAGAAAAAAAGGGCTAAGTACCTACAATTCACACTAAGCAGATGACGTTGAAATTCTTACATGTATGTTGAAATCGGAAGTTTGGGATATTGAAAAAAACAATCTTCGCTTTTGTTTTATTTCATTTTATTATTTAATTTCCTGCTTTTTCGCCCCATCTACTTGCTGAGGGCAAGGAGGTGAAGGAAAACAAAATTCCGCTAATGCTGGGGAAAGGGGGTATATATGTATAACGTATTCCACCACCGAGAGTGCCACCCCACCGAGTGTGCCACTTTTTCTTGGCATCGCGAACATCACATATGAAAACTTGAATTACTCTACACTAGCTATAGATGCTTCGTACGACTCACTTGCATCTAACATAGAATCTTCTTCTACATCTTTTTGGCACGTACGGGCGTTATGGCCCACTCTCCCACAGATTCCACAGTGCCGTTGACCTGGCT